GCCCTGAGATTTGAAGGAGGACAAGAAGTTTGCATTGAGGCAAACGACCTCCTTCTGTTGCAGAAAGAACTTTGGGAGGAGGACCAGAGTTCTGCAATACTCTGGTGACCTGACAGTTTCATCAAACACATATTTACTCTGGGCACAAAGAAAAGTCTAAGTTTCCATGCCACCCCTGCCCATAGTGCCATCTAATATTCTATGGCAGTGCTCAAGTCCAGATTGGATAGGGCTATGAGCAACCTGGTCTGTCCTTGTCCAAGGCAGGGTTTGAACTAGATGATGTTTAAGGTCCCTTCCTACCTAATGATTACTTCTCCAATAGCAGTGGCAGCACCCTGGCCACATGGCACTTGATGTACACCCACAACTCCTCTGCCCTTGATGCCCCCTGAATTGCAACTCCTGCACCCCTGCCCATTACACACTATATCTGTCTCTAAACTCAATAGTCCAAACCCTCAAAGCAGTTACTGTTATTAAACTAACAACCTGGCAAAATCCCATCTAGATAGAAAAAATAAGTACATCATCACAGTATTTTATAAGCTTTAAAAAAAAGATGCCCACTTCCTGGAGACATTCAAGGCTAGGTCGAATGGTACCTTGAGTTGCTTGATCTGCTGGGGGTCAACGGTGGTGGGTTGGAACTTTCAGGTCTTTAAGGTCCCTTTCAACCCAAGCCATTCTAGGACGCTATCACTCTAAGATGTTACACACTTTCAATCCATTTCAGCTTCCTACATTCACAGTAGAAGTTAATTTAATTTAATTAATTAAAAAAAAATCTACAACTGATCTCCCAAACCAAAACCAGTTAAACTCTAGCGTTAAGAAAACATTGAGTTTTGAAACAGTAGCCTCCTTGGAGTCTTCACATTTTTCACTCTCCCTTTTTCAGTACTCCATAATGATTATAGGAGATACAATTAAAGCATACAGCTGAGATTGACTAGAAGCTAAAGTGTATAGTTTCCTGGAAAGAGATTAACTATCTTAATTATTCAAGGACCTCGTAATAAAAAAATAATAATAATGTAAATTTCCATAGTTCTGGACAGGCAGACCTTGCGGATATTAGCAGCACTGCTGTTCAAAAGTTTATATAAATGACCTCTATCTCTGGTCCCAAAAGACACTTCTGCCTCTCCCACTCTCTCACTGTCTGCCATACATGAATACATACTGCCCCAAGCAGAGGCTTCTAGACTTAGCAAAACCTTATGATCTCCAACAGTCTCACACAAAGAATGGATGACAGCACCAACATACAGTCCTGTTCCTAAAAGATGACCACTAACATTCCTTGTGCATCTGTACAGATCTGGGATCAAGAGGAGGATAGCAAGACTCACTGTGTTTATCTTTTCTTCAAAAAAAATTTTTCTTAATCTTTCCCATTAACTTTCAGTTGTGATAAATAGCAAGGGAACACACACTGAAAATGCAGTTCCTTGACAAAAGAAAATTACAACTTCTAAATAATAGATGCAGCAACTCGGGATCAATTCCTGGCCCCTCTTCTGAGGAAATGTTTAGATTTGAAAACAGGATGTGACTGAAAAACTCATAATGGTAAAAGGAGTGTCCATGGGTGAGAAATGTTCCTAAAAAAGGGTTTGCAAACCCTCAGAGTACTCAGATCATCTTGCTACCAGAACACACAGCGGTTTCTGGTACAGCAGATCTATGTCTGAATTACTTGCTTTCTGTAGAGCTATATTCTATGTGCAAAAGCACAATCAATTCCCTGAAATAAGCAACACACGGAAAACAAATCAGAAATACATATAAAACAAATCAGAAATACATATGAAAGAGTACAGTGAGTAGAAGCAACCTCACCAACCTCACAGGACAGGACACGGGGATCTACGTATGGAACATCAGCTCTCAACAAAGAAAATTATTTTCAACTTGTCATTATTGTATTTTTTAAAAAATGTATGAAGATGTGAAGAAGCCCACACTACTAAAAGATTCAGATTCAAGAGGTTGCAGTCATATTACTAAAAACTGGAGGCTTTTAAAGGAACCCTATTTTGTGGTACAAGTAGAGTTTTAAACAATTTATTCTCAGTACAGTACCAGTGATCTTAATAAATATTGCAACTGGAAGAGGTATCCAGTAACCTTCATAATGAGAGCTGTTTGATCTAACACAAGGAGTGAAATAAAGCCAGCTCCCTGAAGCCTCTTCTGCATCTCAATCCATTCTGGTAGGAAGAAGGCTCTTTATTTATGACAGTTCAATGAAAACTGAATTCCAGTCATCAAATCTATTATTCACTGGATGTTCCTTAAAGACATATTTTTATATATGTAGCAAGCACGTTTCAGCACTCATCATATTAAAATCCTGTTACTAAGGTTCCATACACAAAACTTCTGGTAATGAGGAGATTTTCCCTAATTTACACAAAATTGCATCTTGTATCATAAGAATATCCTCCAGAGGTGAAATAAACAAAGACCCACATTCAATTTTACAGGCATCTTTTTAAAAAAATCTTATTTTATTCCAGTAGAAGTACCGTGATCATCTACTTTCTCCATGGCTTTCGGAAAGCACAAGGATCACAGGATCACAGAATTGTAGGGGTTGGAAGGGACCTCCAGAGATCATCGAGTCCAACCCCCCTGCCAAAGCAGGTTCCCTACAGCAGGTCACACAGGAAGGCATCCAGGCAGGTCTTGAACATCTCCAGAGAAGGAGACTCCACCACCTCCCTGGGCAGCCTGTTCCAGTGCTCCGTCACCTCACTGTAAAGAAGTTCTTGCGCATATTTGTGCAGAACTTCCTATGCTGCCAGTTTCCGGCCATTTCCCCTTGTCCTGTCTCCTCTCACCACTGAAAACAGTCTGGCCTCGCCATTCTGCCCCCCACACCTTAGATACTTATAGATCTGGATCAGGTCCCCTCTCAGTCTTCTTTTCTCAAGGCTGAACAGACCCAGTTCACTCAGCCTTTCTTCATAAGAGAGATGCTCCAGGCCCTTCACCATCTTCGTGGCCCTCCGCTGGACTCTTTCCAAGAGATCCCTGTCTTTTTTGTACTGGGGAGCCCAGAACTGGACACAGTGCTCCAGATGAGGCCTTACCAGGGCAGAGTAGAGGGGGAGGATCACCTCCCTCGACCTGCTGGCCACGCTCTTTTTAATGCACCCCAGGATGCCATTGGCCCTCTTGGCCACAAGGGCACACTGCTGGCTCATGGCCAACCTGTCGTCCACCAGGACACCCAGGTCCCTCTCCGCAGAGTTCCCCTCCAGCAGGTCATCCCCCAACCTGTACTGATGGAAGGTAACAAAGGGTACGACTGGTCCAAGGCAGTCATTCACACATCCAGGGGCATTTTGTGACTCAGAGTCGACAGGGTTTGATACCAGCATTTGGATTTGGATTCCGTTCCTTCAGGAACTTTAGGAGAACTGAAAGATCACTTCAGGACAATCTCCAGTAAGCAACACCTTACGGAGATCTCCTCCCTACCAGTTCCATCCAGCAGGGTGGACTGAGACAGAACTGTGCCTGTTACCCTAGCAATATCTGCCAAATTCATCTATACTCAGTAGAATTGTGTAATCAGTCACATATGTACAAAGAAACATTTGGATCAAATAAATGTGTCCCACATGTCAGGAGACCCACACAACACAACCAATAACATATATGGGAATAAAGAGCAAACAGCGTTAGTTGGCTTCAGGGACTGCAAAGGCCTGAACAGTACTTACTGGCAGTAGCTTCCAGTCCCCATAATAGTAAAGCTGTGAACACACACACAGTTCATCATTAGATAATATCTCAGCACGATCTCCTCAGAGAGGAAGCCAATTACAAACTCCCCAAGTGGCAGGAGGGCAGCAAGCAGCCAATACAGACTGCTTCGATCCTGACTGGTGCTGTGATGAAAAGGCAGATTTTTTTTCTTGACATGACACAAACAAGATGAGGGCAAAGGACTACGTCACTGGTGAATTTGTATCTCCATGATCCAGCAGAGACAGCCTGGAACAACTAAATTTATGCAATGCACTTTGCTTCTCTATCGGAACCTCTGTTTCTGCTAGCAGATTTTTAAAACCAGATTACAACCAGACAGTTCCTTACTGATTATTCCTGTGCAGATGTTAAAGAGCAATTACTATACTAGCTAAAGTTGTTATTACTGCAAGATCCAAATGTTTTCTAACGATGTACTGCCTTCTAGCACTAAGATTGCTGTAGGTCCTAATTACTCTTAGCCATAGCCAAGTTACACTGCCAGCTCATCCTAGGTCACTGCGTCTTCCTTAAGTGGGCTATCAAAAACACACTCGCTGTAAAAAAGATTACAAAGCAATTTGCAATGTGCAGGTCCCATTGGAAGCATTAGCTCTCTCCATAACGACGGGCAGAGGACTTCAAAATAAAACAGAACTTGGGAAATGCTGTTCCTAGTGAGCATATCAGCCTCAGAAACACTGCCTGGGAGAGGGAGCTCCCTATCCTGTTCACCACATCCAGGTTTAGAAAAAGAGAAACAAACGATCACGCACACTCCCTTAGGAAATCCTTAGGATGTGCGCCCTGAGCGGGTTAACAGACTTGTCTCCTTCTTCCCTTTACTCCCACAGAATTAAGTTTGACATTTATTGTATTCGTATCGCAGCCTCACTAGTGATGATCGGATCGCTTCAGGTTCGCTGACACACAGCCCGTGGAATTCTTAGAGAAACTGGAAGCGTTTGCACGGCGCTCTCGAGCTCTCCTTCAGACAGCCGCGGTCAAACTCACGAGCACGCTTCCGTGGCACTGCTCACAGCCCAGAGCCCAGCCAAGCCGTGCCCCGGCATCCCGGGCACTCCGCAGCGGGCAGGGCGGGAGGGCTGGGGGGAGTGGGAGGGAGATGGGTCAGAGGGAGGATGTCCCGGGAGATGGGTGGGAGAGACAGCGGGCGAGCTGGGCTGGGCTGTAACGCCCCCCGCTATAAACGAAGGGGCCGGGCAGTGGAGCGAGAGGAGCGGAGCGGCCGGGGAGGGAGAGCCCAGCGAGACCTGAGGAGAGCAGCCCGGCGCCGTGCCAGAGCCGACGGGGCTGAGCCGCCCGCTCTTCGGCGTGCCGTGCGGGGCTACGGCGGTGCACGGCCTCCGCCGAGCCAGGTAAGAGGAGCCCCGACCGCGGCTGTGCAGAGAGAGCTCGGCCGGGAGGGCGCTGCCGGGCCCCGGGGGGCAGGAAGGCGGCTGTGGCTGGTGAGGTAGGGTCGGGTCCGGCTGCGTTTGGGCATGGGTAGGATGGAGTTGGCAGAGGAAGCACCTTATACCTGGCAAAACGCAGGCATTTAAATCCCGCGCCTTACCTTACCCACCGAGAACCACTTGTTAAGCCGACATGTACTTGTTTTGGAGACGGACAGACGTCCCTCACGTTCACAGCCTGCCACGTGCATGAGCTCTCCTGTCTTTGTCATCTGCCTGAAGATAAAGCCGAGGCACCCTCTGCCAGATGGCACCAGCCAGGCACTTCCCAGCAGCCAGCCCTCCTACCCCTAGGCATAGGCAGATGAGAACTTAAAGCATTTTTTTAGTGTTGAAATCTATGATGTAAGCTAACCAAAAATCAGCAAAGGCAGTGCCCAACATTTTCTAGACTTACGCAAATATGTTTCTTTTCAGAAAAGAAAAAGAAACAAATAAGCCAGACAGTACAACTTCTACCAGTTAGCAACTAGTGCTGGTTTCATCAAAACTGAAGTAGCATGCAGTCTCCATAACCAGACTCAGACCTCACTCCTACTTCCGAGCACAGCTTTGATTCTTAAAACTGAATACAGAACGCCCTTCAACATCAACGGGTGAAATTCTATAACACCTACTGCCTCCTACTCTCCCTATGTTAAAACCCCAGTCATTTATTGATATTGGAGCTCTTATTCTTCCAATCAAATCCACCAATCAGATTGCGGTATGGACAAGCACTAACTTTTCAGGATTTAATTTTGCTAATTTTTATATTTCTACAAACACACTGGAGTTAATGAGTTGTATGGCAATAAGTGACAGCAGGATTCTGTCCAGAGCTTGCTACAGTTCACTGTAAATTTCCATCCATTAGTGGCTGTACTTGTTTTGACTGTTGTGTTACACAGCACGGAGCAGTCTAGTAAACAGACTCAGGCAAATTAAAGCCCCAAAAAGGGATTATGTTTTTGTTTAGTTGGTGGCAAGGAGCAGGAGGAGAGGGGGCTGTCATACCTTTTCACCTTCGCCACTAACATGATTAGATTTTTGCCTGAGCAAGAAGGACTAAGTATGGCCTGGAGCAGGTAATTACCATGGTGATCTAGAAGGGCTCTTTCCGCTCCGTTTTAGTGTCTGACAAATGTTTCACACTCCTGACTGCGTCAGTCCCTTTTGCTTGTTGCCGTCATAATCTTTTATAGTATCTTTCAAAAATATGAAGTGTCCACAGATTAAGTTTTCATTCATTTATTAAGAATTTTAACTGTGTGCCTTTCCATCAAGAACATAGCATTTCTGTTGCTTTTCCCTATTACTTGAACTGCAGAGCAGAGAAATCTCAGTTATTTCTCTAATGCCCTGTCTAGTTTATGTTGCTAGACAGAGAAATAAAGAGGTTGAGTACAATAAGAGACGGAAGGCATGTTTATCATGAAATCATCAGTCTCATTCTCTCCTTACTTTTAGCAAGATAGTATTTGGAAAGAGTTAATTTTTGTACTGGAGGAAAGCAAAAGTAGAACTATTTCCTGCCTTATTGCTTGGAAAATGTACCTTGCTTGGGTTGGACGGCATATGTGTAATGCAATTAGAAGTTACTGGCTTAAAATACAATAATTGCCAGCCTGAAACTCAGTGTAGCAGAAGTGAGGATAGTGCTGCCTTCCAGTTTAAAATGTCACAATTCCACAACCTGCTGAGAACAAGATGCAAAATTTGCATGTGCTACCTGCTGAATATTATAATCTTTAGTTAGGATCAATATCTAAAAGTATCTGGAAACGCATCTTTTTGCTACTGGTTGTAGCACTGCAGAAGCTGAGACATGCTGAACAAAGATAGTGACTTATTTACACTTGCGAGAATAATTCTGCTGAAACATAGGGGCTGTGTTTACAATCATGCAGATAGGAGTTGGAGAGCCTCACATGAAAAATTTCAGATAGTGAGTAGTCAGTGCATCTTTATTACTGCTATTTCTTATTCTCTTTTCCATAAAGGAATACATCTAGGGAGTCTACTTGCACTTCCTGTGGTTCTTCACTACAGCTCTGCTTATTAATGTGTAGTTTAAAGCTGCCATGAAGTACAAACTCCTATTAGACTGTCCCAGTTAAACTTTTTATGCAGAGTTATAATCTTGGATGAAAATGTTTTAAACAGTCACAAATTACTTGTACTTAATCACTTTCTCATCTTATCCTTGGACCTTCCTGTTATCCAGTAGTTACTAATACGAGGAGTATTCACAAACTGTCTCAGGACTATTGCTGCCCATGTTTTAGGGCATCTAAGCATGCTGTGAGAACCACCAAGTTGTTTCTTAATGCCTGGCACATCTCTGTCCTACACTTCAACTGTCCTTTTCTCTCTTGGGGACTTCATAAGAGCATAAGTTTTGTCATGAGTTGGATAGTAGACATGGATATTTGTGCATTATTTTAATCAACTACTGTGACTCTCTCTACTTGGTTGATATTGTGCTTTTTTTTTTCATTTTATTCTTTAGAGGTGAAATAAACTAAAATTATATCTCAATATATTACACATAAAGCTGAACTGGGGAAATGGGCTATTAAGGGTAGACCTACTTAGGCAGTCCACTCTCACCTGTCTGCAACAGGAATATTGGCAACTAAGCAACATATCTACTCTGGCAACCAAAATGCTAACCTGAAGAGGTCTGAACAACAGCAATAACCCCAACACCCAAAGCTGTAACGAAGAGAGCTTGGGCAGGTAAGTGAAACAGCACAGACAGAATGGAGACTGCTTATTTAGTGGGGAACTGGATCATACTTATTCCAACAAATGACAGAGCATAGAGGAAAAGAGGAAGTGAAATAAGTGCCAGCATTATGTCATCCTGATTCCAATGCAAGCTTAAGATTAATTTCACATCAGACCCCTGTCAAATTCTTACATCTTCATTTTAAGCCATCATCTCTCTCCGGAGAGTATAATCTCAAAATTCTTTCAGACTTGCAAGCCTGACAAGGCTTACAGTTGTGAGAGCTGGAACATGGTATAACCCGGTCACTACAGGCTCATAACAGTCTTTTTGTGTTGTTTAGCTAATCCAGGCTTTCAGTACCCTCACTGCAATTTTAAGCCTCACCTGGCATCCTGCTGATGTCTGCACCTCATGTTCTCAGTTGTGCAACAATTCTATTAGAAATTCACTGGCCCTTTGTACTTACATTGTGTTCTGCCATATGTTCCTTTCAAATTTTAATTAGCAATTTTGCTGCATTCTTGGGTAGTAGTTTTGATTTTCTGACAGTTTCTCCTTCAGGAATCTATACTATTTTTAAGAAATCAGCCTCTGCATTGCTAGGATCAAGTTTGAGAACCTAGGAAAGAGTGTAGAGCATCACAGAGACATGTTAAATATTTTGTAGAATTCTGAAAACAAATGGAAAATATGTATTGCTTATCAAAAGAAGGGAAAGTGAAGGGAAGACGTTTTCTTCTTTCTTACTCTTGTATGGTTAGTATACGTCAGGCTAACAGGTATAAAAGGGTTGCACTTAGAATTGAACCTAGCTAGTTATGAAGACATGCAGACAGGTTATATTCTAAAGGTGTGATATTATTTCACAGGTGAATCAGAGAGCAGTTCTAGCATTAAAATTTTATACCAAGTTGAACATTTTGCATGTAGACACTAGCTCAAAAACATTGGAGTTTTAAATAGACACAGAAGGATTTACACTTCAAGTATAAAGGTGCACGGCCCTCAAACAGGAGGTCCAAACACTGCATCCTGAAGGTCAAAAAGGTTCCAGTGAAGATGTTTTTCCATATACTTTTCCTATTGCACAGAAAATTACTTATCTTGTTGTTTTGTGCCACCTCCTTCTGGTCTTAAAACCCTGCAGTGAAAGCAAGCCAGTAAGCTTTTGCTAACCACAGTATTTAAATTCAATTTTTATCAACAAATGTGTCACTTAAAATCACTTTCACCAATAAAGTCATTGTACTCAGAACACTTATACCATTTTATATGCCATCTTCTAAGACTTATCCTTTGCCCCCCTCCAAAAACAAAAAAAAAAAAAAAAAAAAAATTGACAGATGTTATCTAGAAGAATGTGTTGTTTTTGGAACATTTGGGAGAATTTAACAAATCTGACAAATAAACACAAGAAGTTACGATATCTGCACTTTTTCTTACCTGCACTGTAACAAGCAAGTGAAAAGAGGTGATCTTAACTGTAAATCCTAACAGTTGTGATTGAGACAAAGTGCACATGAAATAAAATAGCTGGTCTAATGATTTACTGACTTATCCTCAGATAAATGATGGATTAGACTAAAATTACTTGGAGCTTTCAACTGAATTGCAACTAAGGGTAGGAAAATACCATGCTTAGAATGACATGCTGTTAACTATTCTCTGTTGCACCATCATCTGACAGAACTACAGATTTGGGGCTGTTAGGCATCTTTTTCAATTTTCATTCTATTTGGTTTTTGCTTGTTAGCAAAACTGTCCAGGTCTCCACTATATAACAACACTAGCTAGAATGCATGGTTACTATTTGTGGTGTTTATGTGCTTTTATTGTAGCTGAGTAGCATTTCTCTTATAGGCACAGAAAATGGGTAATAACTGAAGACTACCTCTCAGCAGGAAAGTGAGATCAGATTGGCAACGAATGGCATGATTGAAGACAAAAAGCCAGCTTCCACTCAAGGTAACATTGGCAGTATCTAAAGAAACCGGTACTGAATTTGGGCAGGGGCAATGTTTAGACAGTATTTCACTGTCTGAGGTAAAGGCTAATATTAGAGTTAAGGCCAGAACAAAGAGTGATTTCTTGCTTGTTTTCAGCTAAATCATCTGTTCCTGTATTTCTGGGTCATACCAATTTGACAAATTCTGATCAATAGCTGGCTAGTGGAGTCTAATAGTCAGTAGATGAAAAACAGGAACAAAAATACAAAATAAAACAGCATTCCTGAGTCCTCTCCATTTTCTGAAAATTGAGAGGGTTACACCAAATGAGAGCACTGTGCCTCAGCGTTTTTAGCTCAGAGGGACTCATGCAAATAGTAAAACATTCCAGAAAACCACTGAACAGCTGTACTTTTATGCTGGGGGGCTTACGCAAGGGAGAAAAATGCACTAGCTGACTTCCCTAAAAATGTTCTGTTGGCAGTTATCCTCAATTTAACCCTCCTTTAGCATCATTACAGCCTGGGCAGACCCTTTGCTCAAAGCAGCCAGCACATGACACACAAAGATGCAGACTGAAGTTGTTTATTTAGAAACCATGCCCCTTTCAATCTAACTTTATAAGACGTGCGTCTCCTTATTTTTCTTCACAAAAATTGTTTTTTTGGCTTTTCTCTCTTCTCCCCTAATTTGTGTAACCTCAAACTAAGTGTTTATACAGTTTTCCTTTCCTCCCTATGAACCCAAGAGTGAGTCAACTACTACTCTTGGTAGCTGCCCAGAAGTTTCTTCCTCCTCAGGTACTGCAGTTCATGTGGGTCAGGAAAACACTTGTTTTCTAAGTGGAACTGTAACTCTTCTGCTAGGTTTGTCTCTGTTTTACTATTGGCTTTGTTAACTGACCAACAGCAACTTACGTTAGGAGAGTTGCAGTTTGTCCTTAAATCAAGCTTTTATTTGGGTAAGAAAAAAAAATATATGTTTATGCATGTGCTTTCCAAAAAAACTCTTTTAAAAAGGGCTTAAAAATATTTTGAATGCAAGTACGTTGTTATCATGCTGTTTCGTTTCACCAAGAGTTCTTATGCATACCATCAGGAAAAAAGTCACCTCAGTGCAGGGCAGCCATATATTCCTCACCTCAATTAATAGTTGTCCTAGCAGTGAAGTAGAGCTACTGTGGCATATTTTGGAGTGCACAGTGCTATCCTTCTCAGTTATGTTTGCTTGAAAATCAAGAGTGCATTTTACTCAGAGTGCAATGATTCACAGCATGTGAGCTTACCCTTGTGGTGTTTTTTGTGTGTTTGTTTTTAGTGGATTTGGTTGATGTTTATTTTTATCAGGTTTGGGTTATTTGGGGAGGGAGAAGCAGGGTAGGGCAGGTGCATTTCACCTTTTTGGGCTGTGCCATCCTTCTTGGTTTTGTTATCTTTCTTGGTGGTACTCAGTACCTATAAGGGAAAATTCTCAGAGCCAGAATGGTAAAGAGATTTCAATAATTGAATAAATTTTACACTGGGAAAAAAAAGCAAACAGGAAACAAGCTATACACATTTGGCAGAACATCTATTTTGCTATCATTCTATTAAGCATGCAGCTTTCCAGACAAAGCACTAGGGATCACAGTATGTTTTTTTCATGGGCAGTAACACCTTCCACACTGTTTTGAATTAAGGTATCTGACTCTGAGCTTTCATTCTCTTTGATTAACCCCTTAGCACCTTAGTAATCCAACTGACTTGTATCAAAAAAAATCACAGATGCATTGCTTATCTTCGTGTTTGGCTGCTCATCAGATTTTCTCCTAGTCCCCTAAGAGGAGTTTTGTTTAAGTGAAAGCAGGACTGGGCCTCTATGTTCTCCATGTTACACTTACTAACAGCTACAATGCCACTAATTTCTCTTGGGCTTAACTGCATTACCATTTTAAAAGATTTTGGGGAGGAAGGAAGGAGGGAAGAGGTCTGAATAACTCTTGTACTTCAGCAGTTACCCATACTATTTTCTTTCCTTTCTGCCTTTGGTTTCCTTTTTTCTGACCCTAATGAGGTATTCATTAAGAAGCCTCCATGCTGATCCTGTGCTTTTAATCTTTTAACTTTTCCCTCCAGGCTGTTACTAACATTTTCATTTAAGGAAAAAAAGTCTTTTCTGAGGCAGATTGCCATAGTGCAGTATTTTCCCACCATAAGAATATCTAAATTAATTATATAACAAAAATAATCAAGTGTCTCAATCAGACCCAGTGAACCAAGTCCTGATATGCAGGGCTGAATTATGACACATGGAAAACAAAGCGTCTTTTGAACATGGGCGTTGAAATCTAACATTCATTTCCTTACACAGAAATTCACAATACACTTGCTTTTGCTTTAGAACTTCTCCAGTAGGACAAACAATATTTTTCACAATGAAGTCAAAAGAAAAAATGCTCAGCATAAGATTTGTTTTTCCCCAGAGCCAAAACGCCTTGACTAGCAGGAAGTTTGATAGGAGTCACCAGCCAGGTTACTAGAAATGCAACGCTGTACTGGCTAACATGGAAGTTTTAACTAACATGACAAGGTGCTTTAGTGACTTTGATATGTCTTTGTCCATGTATGAATGCCGCATCTGCACGAGTGCTTGTTTTTCAGTTGATGTTTTCGCTACTAAAATTTATCAGTCACTTTAACCACTGGTGATAGGTGAGAAGCAGGAGTGCAGTTCATTAGAGGTTTTTACATGAGTGAAAGCCTTATAAATGTGTGCAAATTTTTTTTGTCTCTACCACTTTGACAGATTAGCTCTTGCTGCAGATGAAAATGCATGTATTGCCCTGCACGATGCATTTCTCAAACTTGAGAAGTCTCCTCTAGCTTATTTATCATTTTACATTTTTATATATATTTCTATATATCTTCTATACTTTTAGGTTAAAAAAAAGTAGAACTATAAAGTATAATCTGCAGATAGGACTGTGTGTTCTTAGACATAAATAGCTTTAGATCCCCCCAAGGCTCCACCCATATTTAGCTTAATGGCAGGAAGAAGTCTCTTTGAGGATTAATGTATATAAGTAAGGCCTCACACACAGCATAGTATTTCCATACTAGTCAAATATTGCTGATGTGCTCTACAACTTAGAGGAAATCTATGCACATAAAGTCTTGTAGCACCTTTCTTACTGTTCTACAAGGAAGTACAGAAATGCAGTTCCATCACTTCTGTCACAGGATCTTTGATGTTTTTAGACTCCACATTACTTTTGTTTTCAAGAAGTTTTAAAGATTTGCAGTGGGAATATTGTGCCATCACCAGAATAGCTTGACTGCTACTACTACAATGCAAGTTTCTTTAATAGAAGTAGACAATGAGAAGGTGACTGAAGTACAGACAAATCAACTGGTTAAATTGAAAAACGAGATCATACAAATGAGAAAACAGGAAACTCACCTTTTCTCAAGTATTTGATGTGAGCTCAGTTTGCTAATTATATGTGCATCATTTTGTCAACATTGCCTTTCATTCCTCAGTTCCATAAAGGTAGCCATCCGAGTACTGTTTCTTCCTGCCAGGTCCAGTTCTTGTCATAGCAATGCTTGGAACAACTGGTACCTCTGAGTTGTACCTTCAGCTGCAGGTGCTGTCTTTGTATATTCAAACATTGTTAAAAAGAGCAGATCTTCAGGCTAAACCAGTAGATATTTCTGTGCTGCTCATACATTGTCTCATCCTTGAGCAACAGCAGAGGAGAAGGGCTCTTGTTTTGCCTTCAGAGCAAGCTGTGGAAGTGACCTTCCCAAAATAAGACTACCTTCCAGGTGATAGCTGTGTTCCACTGGACTTGTGAAACCAATGAGTAGTACAGATATCTTGATAGCAGAACTAAGGGCTCACTAAGACATTCGCTTCAGCAAGAGTGAATGATCAGAGACTGAAGATATTCACAACAACATGGAAAACTGTAACTCCTTATTAAGCTCTGAGCACTCTGCAGATTTCCTCCCCTGACTTAGGAAGTAAAAATGGCAGTTAGTGCTTATGAGCTTAAGCTCATATGCTTATGAAGATACCCACAAGATCCAGTGAAGAGCACCACATAGCTTTAAACTGATTAATAGGTATATGATGTACCCAGTAAGTCAAACCGTGATTCTTATACGTGACCTGAATTCATATGTGATATGTCCTCTTCTGATAGGAGACCGGATAAGCGCTTTCAGCGGTGCTTTTTTTACTTCAGTAAGTCCTCCCCCACCTTGTCTCTCCAAAGCCTTTTTAATGTAAGGCTGGAACATAGAATTGAGTCAAGCCAAGAATTAATAACAGCTCCCTTATGCCTCAGGTTGGCGGAGTTCACTGTAGAAGTTTATAGTTCATTCTCCATGGAAATAATGATGCTAATAGATGTGTGGTTAGGTGTCCAGAAGCTACATTTGTGTAGAATGTGCACTGCTGTGCAATTAAAAAAATACTTTAAAACTTCTTATTCCATGGAACTAAGCTATCAAAATAGAAACTTAAAATTCATCAAGTTATTTCACTTGCTCTTAGCAAACCTGAATTTGATTTCTGTCTTTTATTAAAAATAATCACATGGGGCACACTATATTTTATATAGGCAATTCTGGCTGCAATAAAGGAAATGTGTTAATCCACTCATTTACTATCATTTGGAGAAAGTAACTGTGCATCACGTAACCTTTCACAGCTCAAACTAATCTCACTTTTATTCGTTCTGGGACTTGATGGCTTCATTCTTGTTAACTGTGGACTCTTTTGGGTACTTCCAAATACCCTAAGGGTACCTACATAACGAGACATCACATCTGAAATTATGAATGTACACTGAACTGTATGTTTAGAATAAAACAGCATCTTATGTTGCCCTTCAAAAATTTTTACAGGTTAATGTTGAAAATGTTAGAAGTTCTAGAACTGCCATGATTTGAAAGACTTTTCTCTTTCTGCCATTATGCCTTAAATGGGGCTGTTAAAAAAAAAAGAGAGGTGCTGATAAGTCCCTGTTAAGTA